CTTTTTGTTAATTTATTTCATATTCATAATGTGATTAATTTATCAAAGTGATTCCTTATCATTATTCTGACTTCATTAAAGTAGATGTAGACAACATTTAATATTTACTACAAAAGTCATCTGAGATGTATCATGCATATTATTCATATTACAAAATCTGATGCATTTCTCCATTGCGTATTATTGTACTATTGCGTACTTGTTTCCCGTGCAGATATGCTTTCAGACCCATATGTTTCTTTGAACATTTCCAAACTTCACTTTACATGTTGAAATCATAATTTAAATATAATTAAGTTACATTTTTTATTTAGATAATGGGGGTATAACATGGTTAGCACCAATACTGGGCTGTAATTTATCCAGCACCAATAATGGGGTCTAATTTTCCCTGCATCAGTAATAGGGTGTAATTTGCCCAGCATCAATAATGGGGTATAACATGACTAGCATCTAAGTAGTGGTAATGTCTTCTCGCAGACATAATAACATAGGACAATAATGACAAAAACCCACACTAATGTATGTGTGTATTATATGTAAAGACTTGTGTATTATATGTAAGATGATGTAAGATTTACATATAATACACAATTACATAAGTGTGGATTTTGATCCTATGACTAGCATCAATAGGGATATAACACCTAGCATCAATATAGTGTATAACTTACCTAGCATCAATATAGGGTATAACTTACCTAGCATCAGTAATAGTGTATAAATTGCCTAGCATCATAATTTTATTACTTTATTTATATTTATATATATACAAGAAGGTACATTGGGTTTATGAGAATACATATAGGATTGATGTTTTTACACTCTTGTAAAGCCACTAACACGCATAGCGTTTCAGGCAGGTCCTTAATCTAACAGATAATTTGAAGTAGGTAATTTGTAGAAAAATTTGAAGAATATTAACAGATACATAGTAAGAAAATTTGAAGAAAATAAATAGGTACATTACTGTAAAATTCGAGAATTGTCAACAGGTACATTGTAGCATCATTTGAGGATTAATTCTAGATACATTGTAATAAAATTTGCATTTAACACACAACAATCATGATATAAGATGATAGCAGTGATTACAATGGTGAAGTTTATGGCTTAGGCACATATATTGGGGAAGTAGGTAGCACAAGATACATTGCGAGTTTATAATGGGGGTATAACATGATTAGCATCACTAATGAGGGTTTAACTTGCCCAGCATCAATAATGAAGGTATAACCTGTCTACAATCAATAATGGGGGATAACTTTGATCAGCATCAATAATTAATGGGATGTATCTTGTCTAGCATCAACAATGGAGTGGAATTTGCTTATCATCAATAATGGGGGGAGTACCTTAGATAGTATCAATAATGAGGTGTAACTTGCTTAGCATCAATAATGAGGGTGTACCTTGGATAATATCAATACTGGGATGTAACTTGCTTAGCATCAATAATGAGGTATAATTGGCTAGCATCAATAATGGGGTATAACTTGCTTAGCTTCAATAATGGGTCATATGCATACAATAAGTCATAATAACATGGCCAAAAAATAGACACCTAACTCACAAATTTGAAAATACAGGAAGTGACGACATTTCAATCCACCTATATTGAAAGCCTAGCATCAATAATGGGTTATAACTTGCAAATGATGAGTCACAATAATGTGACTGAAAATATGATACCCAAACCACACATCAGAAAATGAAGAAATTACAATGCTTCAGTCCGTTCTAGATCAGTATCAAGTTATGTAATGGATAATTTTTTTCCCTGGCATCAATAATGGGGTGTAACTTGCATACCATCAATAATGGGGTGTATGCAGACAATTAGTCATGAGAACATTTGATGAAAATTAGACACCCAACTCCCAAATCTGAAAATAACGAAAGAGATGACATTTCAGTCCGTCCATCCCATCTTAATAATGATCCTAGATGGATCGAAACATCACCGTTTTTATTTTCAGATTTGTGGGTTGGGTATCTAATGAGATGTATCTTGCTTAGCATCAATAATAGTTTAAAACTTGTATAACTTCAGTAATGAGGTACAACTTACATATTATCAATAATTTGGTGTAACATACCCAGCATTAGTAATGGGGTGTAACTTGCCAAACATCAATAATGGGGGGTATAACTTGACTAGTATCAATAATAGGGTGTAACTTGCTCAACATGGGGTATAACTTGACTAGTATCAATAATGGGGTGTAACTTGCTCAACATGGGGTATAACTTGACTAGTATCAATAATGGGGTGTAATTTGCCTAGTATTAAATGGGATGTAACTTGTACATAAATAATTAGGAGTAACTTGTTTATCAATAATGGGGTGTAATTTTGACAGCAAAAAAATACAAAAAAATCCACTATAGTGGTACAATAACTTGATTTCTGTTTGAGGTGCTGGATCCTATGTATTCATTGAAAATTTTGCTATTTTTTTTAATTAACTAGAGTTTTCATTAGTTAAGGTTTTCTTTATACAGTTACCATATTGGATTTTAGTGAACTTTAGTTATTATTCTGCATATAAGACCTATCAGTTGATTCACAGCTTAATTAAATACAACTATTGGCTACTATAAATTGTATTGTTAGAATGTAATTATGTTTAAAATGCACTGGAGAAAAGTCCTAAGTAAATGAAAATAACTTCAGAGATCCACACATCATGATCACTAAGACTTAGAATCCAGTGATCATTGCTGTGCATTATTGTTGCCTTACAACTAATGGCCACTGGCTGGTTGATTATCCTGCGGTGGCCCTCACACCCAACTTCTGTGCCCTCAGTTGATAGTGTTATGCCACATGTATCATATATTATTACAAAAGTTTGTTATAGTATTTGCTCAGTGCTGAAATTGTTGGGAAATTTGCATGCAGCTCAAGTATATGGAGGTAAATGCACTCTTTTTTCATGCTAGAGTTGACCCTTGTTAAGAGCATGTACCACTGAGGTCAAGGGTGTGAGGCAATACCGAGGCAGCTGTGGGCTAGTATAATCCTCAAGTGTAGAGACAAGAGCTGGGGATTAGCGCTTGTGTCCTTGACGTGGGTGTTACATTGACCTGACCTGACCTGACTTGACAGATCACCATCATGTGCGTAACTCTGTCAAGACTGCCTCCTTGTCCTCCTCACTCTCCTGGCACGCAGGTGAGTTGCTGGACTGCAGGAGGAGTCTTCCTTCCTTCCTGCACATCTTCCCACCAATAGGCCATATCACCCGCAGCTCACTAGCCTCAGGAACGCACCCTGTCTTGTCTTCATGCCACGTGTGTGTAAACCCAAATGTAGGAAGCAGCCCCCTACTGACATGCTGCTCATTATGCCCTCCCAGTAGCCCCACTATGGTGCACACAGTCTCCTCCACCTTATGCTATTGCTGTCATATTCTATACTATTGGCAAATTAGACCCTTCATAGTTTTACATATTTCTCATTCTGTACAGTGCATATCCTAACTTGGCATGTAACCAGCAATATTCAAAGTAATTATGTAATAATTAATACTTTCTGGAGGACATACTTTGCTCTTCATAGAATAGGAAGAGCAAATAGAACAGTGCACAAGTTTAGTGATGCTATATTTATTATATTCTTCCCACTTTTCCTCAGCATTCACCTAAGATTTTGCCTTGTTACATACAATGAAAAAACCACCAATTGAGCTTGAATAATATAATGTGAGCTCATTGTAATTTGTCAATAGGTCCTTTGTAATTATTGATCTTTGGTATGCCAGTTGGGAAAGATTAGCCTCTTGTGTGGCCTTTACGTTCCTTTGCAGTTTATTTACTCTTGCTATAACCTGAAAATAGGATTCAACTTTGATTGCGTGCTGGGAATCAGTAGGACCTCTACTGAAACTGACCTTTTAGGCTCTTTGTTGTTGTGATGAGCAGTGCACGGGTATATTATTGGCATCCTTGATGTTGTGCCACCCGACCACTTGTTGCTCTTGGTACATCTGGCATTCATGTTATGTTGCTGATATTAGTTACATTCTAAATTGTGATGCATTGTATGTCTTGGACATTTTCATTGTAGAATAGACTACAGCATATAATCATTGTGAAATACATGTCAGAATGTAGAGATGTACCTGCTACCTGCTACCTATTGCCAGCTAGTGAGGCTGTGTTGGATGTTAAGTGTTTACTTCGCATGCAGCCAGGTGCTAGTGTATTGCAACTGGAAGTCACATCCTTTCTCTGCTTGGAGGTGCTGGATGGACTTGTAGTTTTGGGTATTTTATTTAGGTAGCAAAGAAAATGTGAAAATTTATCAACACAATTTTTTTAGGAAAGTTGCTTATGGCATAATGGTTGAAGTCATGTGTGTTCACAAGAAAATGCATTTTCTTTGGTCCACTAAACATGCATTATGCAAAGTGAAATGGTTTGCCAGGCTGTACCTGAGGAGATGTTTGGGGTCAGATGTTAAACTGGGATGGTAGTTGCCTGTCATATTGTGAAGCCACACAAGGACTTGCCTGAGGACTCAGATATGTTCCATGTTCTCACAAGTGACATGTCTTGGATAATGACTTGTGACTTTGCATTTTGCATGACTAAAATAGTAGTTAAAATCTATTGAAAAAGTAGTAAATATGTATGAAGCGTTTGCACACTATGTAATCTGTCAATGACAGGATCGTGACTTATAAGGCCTAGCATGTAGGAATGCAACTTCAGTGAATATGGTTTAGATTAGAGAGAGAACTAATTATTATTATGCAGTACAATATTTGAAAAATAATGTATTATATGAATAAACAATTAAATACTTGTAAGTGAACTGATTTATTATAAGAATTGAAAACTGGCATATATATATATATATACAGTATATGGTATAAATGCGATACATAGACAATTAGAAAACATGACCAAGCAAAAGGAAATTATGATGTTGGGGAGAAATTTGACCATTAATGGTGTTTCCGTACTCACATGAATGTCTCTGCCTGTTTCAGCCAATAGGAACAACAATGTTTTGGACCGTGAGTATCAGTGTTCCTCTGTCGTCAACTTCTGGGAGTTCTACTAGCAGTCTGTACTAATGAAACATGTTTAACCCTCCTGGCTAGAAAGACAGGCTATAGCATTAATCACCAATAGGAATTATAATAAAAAACACTGCCTGTATAGTAAGGTCAATATAATATTACATTTAGTAAGGTCAATTCTTTGTATACATCAGCGAGTAGATGGCAGTACTATGTATTAATGACTTGACGAACCACACACTTTAGGACTTGTGGTCACAAATTTCATTAAGAATTAACATCAAAAACTATAAAGCTTGTTTAGGACCAGTGGATTTTCCTGCATAGAAAAACATGGCAATGATTCAACACCCCTTTCACACAAACATTAAAACTTATTTGGACAACAAGCATTAAATGTAATATCTACACATGTGTTTTCTGAGTTTCTCTAGATATTGTCTTATGTTGGAAAGCGTGAACAACTTGGCTCTACTTTCCTGCAGCCATCAAGCACTCAAGGAATTCTCAACTTTGAAACTTTAACATCACTTTGATACATGTCAATTAATGCTTAATTTCTTTGATAGTTCATCACCTAAATCAATGATATTTTCCTTAGATGTTTGCAAAGCATGACAATTGCATGTTTCCCTCAAATTCTATAAAGATGTTTTCATATAAAATATAATTCGTCTGTAGAGAACCCCTGGTTTTTGTTTGTGTGAAGCCATACTAATCTAATTACTTAATTGCTAAAAATAAATGTGTTATATTTCTTGAATGTCTTTCAGCCATCCTTGCTAGACTTTTGCACAGCAGTTTTCTTTTCATTTTAATTCCTTGAAAATTAATTCAAAATTGTTCCTTTTAAAACATAAAATCATTCACCCACACATTCTGCAGTCATGTCCTGATTGATTTTTCATTGCAGCACGCAAACAAGAAATCATCAAGGCCACCGAGCAGCTGATTGACTGTATAAACGGTGGAGACTTTGAGGGTTATACGTGAGTATGACATAGTAGATGAGCAGTGTGTGTGCAGAAATTACTTCCAGAGCCGACAAACTAGAATACACTTTATTTAAGAAAAATATTACCCATAAAAAAGGGAATCATTTTTATTTATTTATTTACAATATATACTTGAATTTTATGAAGAAGTGGTTTTGGCCTGAAAATGTCCAGTGAACACTACAGTATTACAGTACCACATATTGTGTTCAAATAATTATGTGATTATTAAAAAAATTGTCTTGCAGTTAAATTTCATTATGGAAAGTGAATTTAAAGATAAATTGTGTAGCATTAACATATATTCACTCTTCTTTTCTTTCACAGTAAGCTTTATCAGGGATCTGTCAGTGGTTTTGATGTACATGCAGGTAATTGTTGTCTAACCTACCTGCTGCCACCAAAATCACAAGGTGGTCAGCAACTTTGATTATGTTTCATTTTTCTTTCAGCAAAATATGCGACACTCACCTGACCTCGTTCGAGCCAGAGGCGTTAGGCAATTTAGTGGAGGGCCTGGAGTTCCACAAATTTTACTTTGATAATGGTAACTTTAATGTCTTTTTATGGCATTGTTTCAAATTAGTCAAATGCCATGGGTTGTTGTTTTGGCCGAGTGATAAGTGTACTTGTACTGTACCTCGTATCATCACGCCTGTGTGCTTTTACTGTATATCTAAAATAAAACAAAATCATATTGTGCATGTGAAGCAAATTGACATTAGCAAGTGTAGTTTTGTTTGTTATTTTAAGTTGTACTGTATGTTGTAAATGTTGTATGAAATTGGCTCAGCAAGCAATAAAATTAGGTTAATAAATTATGTAGAAAACTTGAAATATAAGAAATGGATGGCTTATTAGTAAAACATATAGTTAAACAAAAATAGAGAACAGATTGCCTATATGTGTAATGTGTCATTACTGTTCCATTATTGGTTAAGGGCTTCTCCAATGCATATATGCTGTACAGTGTGTGTATATTATGCTTTACAAAGTATATGTTAGGCCAATATTATTCTGTATTGAGGTATTGGCTGGGTCTTGTGCAGTCAAAATGCTAAAGAGTTTTCTGTGAAAATGTATACAAGAATCCTTCACTTATCCATCCTGCCTCTTGTCTTAGAGAAACCATGATTTGAGCCTATCTTAGTATGCATTTAATTCTGCTTATGTATAGTATAGTGTGTGTGTGTGTGTGTGTGTGTAATTACCTAAGTGTAGTTACAGGATGAGAGCTACGCTCGTGGTGTCCCGTCTTCCCAGCACTCTTTGTCATATAATGCTTTGAAACTACTGACGGTCTTGGCCTCCACCACCTTCTCACCTAACTTGTTCCAACCGTCTACCACTCTGTTTGCGAAAGTGAATTTTCTTATATTTCTTCGACATCTTTGTTTAGCTAGTTTAAATCTATGACCTCTTGTTCTTGAAGTTCCAGGTCTCAGGAAATCTTCCCTATCGATTTTATCAATTCCTGTTACTATTTTGTACGTAGTGATCATATCACCTCTTTTTCTTCTGTCTTCTAGTTTTGGCATATTTAATGCCTCTAACCTCTCCTCGTAGCTCTTGCCCTTCAGTTCTGGGAGCCACTTAGTAGCATGTCTTTGCACCTTTTCCAGTTTGTTGATGTGCTTCTTAAGATATGGGCACCACACAACCGCTGCATATTCTAGCTTTGGCCTAACAAAAGTTGTGAACAATTTCTTTAGTATATCGCCATCCATGTATTTAAAAGCAATTCTGAAGTTAGAAAGCGTGGCATAGGCTCCTCGCACAACGTTCTTTATGTGGTCCTCAGGTGATAGTTTTCTATCTAGAACCACCCCTAGATCTCTTTCTTTATCAGAATTCTTTAAAGATTTCTCACATAATTTATAGGTTGTGTGGGGGTCTATGTTCTCCTATTCCACATTCCATAACATGGCATTTATTCACATTAAATTCCATTTGCCAAGTGGTGCTCCATATACTTATTTGTCCAGGTCATCTTGAAGGGCATGACAATCATCTAAGTTTCTTATCCTTCCTACTATCTTAGCATCATCAGCAAACATGTGTGTAATTACCTAAGTGTAATTACCTAAGTGTAATTACCTAAGTGTAGTTACAGGATGAGAGCTACGCTCGTGGTGTCCCATCTTCCCAGCACTCTTTGTCATATAGCGCTTTGAAACTACTGACGGTCTTGGCCTCCACCACCTTCTCACTTAACTTGTTCCAACCGTCTACCACTCTGTTTGCGAAAGTGAATTTTCTTATATTTCTTCTGCATCTGTGTTTAGCTAGTTTAAATCTATGACCTCTTGTTCTTGAAGTTCCAGGTCTCAGGAAATCTTCCCTGTCGATTTTATCAATTCCTGTTACTATTTTGTACGTAGTGATCATATCACCTCTTTTTCTTGTCTTCTAGTTTTGGCATATTTAATGCCTCTAACCTCTCCTCGTAGCTCTTGCCCTTCAGTTCTGGGAGCCACTTAGTAGCATGTGTTTGCACCTTTTCCAGTTTGTTGATGTGCTTCTTAAGATATGGGCACCACACAACAGCTGCATATTCTAGCTTTGGCCTAACAAAAGTCATGAACAATTTCTTTAGTATATCGTTCTTCAACTATGCCGTGGCTGCTCCTTTACCCCAAACCGTACTCTTCTGCTGTCATCTCCCATGGGTCAGCTCTTTAATGTATTCCTGTTCCTTTGCTTTTCTTTGTGGACAGCCTCCCTTCTTTGCTGAAGTGGTGTTGTGAGTAAACTCCTGGAGGTCCTGAGGCCCTCCCAGATATCAAGCAGTGAATGTAATAAAAACCCCATTTCTTATGGTGTCAGCTGTTATTGCCTAGTGTAGAGAAAGGATTAATGTGGAGAAAACTGAATCAAATGTGGTTATGGTAAATAAGGACAGTTTCAGCATGAGTGAGAAGAGTGCTGAGATTAAAATGTGAGCCTGGAAGGTATGGTGGGATATATTAGAGCCATTTTTATGTAAGTGTAGGAAGATTAGGTAAATTTTAAAGTTGAGATAATTTTTCATGAAGCTTGATCCTTGCCAAAAGGATAAGAAGTCAAGATACTGAAATACAGTAAAAAATAAAATGGTTAGGTACATAAAAAACCAGCGTTGAGTGTAATGAAACGCCATTTTCTGTGGGGAGCCCCTACGGTTCCCTGGAGCTCATCGTGCTAATGTATGCTATATTAGACCGTGACATTAGCTATGGAGTTCAGACGTAACAGGGACCATGAGCCAGAACCTGACCCCTTCAGAGAGGTTGCAGGGAGCAATGACTCCTGGAGAAATGCCCTGTTTTTGGGGTTTTTCCTTATCTGCCATGAATAAGGGTTAGGCACCTTATCGATGACCCCCACCAGGCAATGAAAATAAAATAAAAGAAAACCCCCGCAAAAGTATACTGTCTCCAGAGGCAACAGGAACCAGTCGCCGTGTAGGTAGCAGGTCGTGCAACACCTTGACGCCCTAATCAGCACAAAAATATATATATATATATATATATATATATATATATATATATATATATTAGTATATTTTGGTAGCAGTCTTTCCTGTAGACATATATATTATTAAATATGACCGAAAAAGTAAGATTAATAATTCTAACACGAATTTTCTCAATCTTTCGTACATTTCTTTTCACTGTTGGAGGTAATTCAAAAATCAATTCTCCAAAATTCATTTTTATTTCTAGTCTGACGCGACACTTGAGCACGTTTCATAAAACTTATTACATTTTCAAAGACTTTAGTTTAAACATACACAACTGAATAGAACTTACACATCTCCGATTTGTTTATATCTACATTTGAGTGAGGTGAATGGGGTGAGGTGGTATTTAATAAGGTATTAATTTCATCAATACAAGACAGAACACGAAACAATGGGTATTGAATAGAAGTGATTGTAGAAAGCCTATTGGTCCATATTTTTTGATGCTTCTATATTGGAGCGGAGTCTTGAGGTGGGTAGAATATAGTTGTGCACAACTATATTCTACCTCAATAGCATCATTAGCATCTTTAAACAAGAACAACATAATTTATGTGCATCGTCAGAGGCGTCTAAGAATGTGCAAGAAGCAGTGCGACCCCACTATGTGGTGTTGACGTTACTCAAACCAGCTTTCGCCATACGGGACGATTTGACGCCGATCGGGCCGTTCGTTACCCAAAATGTTCGTCTTTTGGGGCGATCGTTATGTGAGGTACCACTGTGTGTGTTATATATATATATTATATATATATATATATATATATATATATATATATATATATATATATATTATATATATATATATATATATATATATATATATATATATATATATATATATATATATATATATATATATATATATATATATATATATATATATATATATATATATATATATATATATATATATATATATATATATATATATATATATATATATATATATATATATATATATATATATATATATATATATATATATATATATATATATATATATATATATATATATATATTATATATATATATATATATATATATATATATATATATATTATATATATATATATATATATATATATATATATATATATATATATATAT